TCTCCTCCTTTTCTCCTCCTCCTTCTCCTCCTCCTTCTCCTCCCTCCCCCTCCTCCTCCTCCTCTTTCTCCCTCCTTCTCCTCCCCTCCTCCTCCTCCCCTCTTCCTCCTTTCCCCTTCCTTCTCCTCCTCCTCATCCTTCTCCTTCTCCCCTCCTTTTCCTCCCCCTCCTCCCCCTTCTCCCCATCGTCGCTGACGCACTGCGCGTGATGCAACTCGTTAATGTAATTTGGCTATTAGCTTTCGGCGACGAAGTTATTATTTGCGGGGACGGAATAATTTTGGGGAACTGCGCGTATAGTTGTTATTGTCGGCCGTAGTGGCGACACTAGCAACGGTAAGTCGTCATTAACGCGTTCCGATTCATGACGTCTGCGGGCTGCATTATCACTGTTATCTTGAGTGAAAGAGAGGGAAACTTGCGGTTAGAAGGAAGGGCTGAGTGCTGGGTAGAGAGCGGAAGAGTGGTGCTTAGGGAATGGGGGTCGTGGGTAGGGGGAGGGGGAGTAATTGGTAGAGAGGGGTGAGTGATGGGTAGGGGATGGGGTGGTCGTTGGTAGAGAGGGATGAGTGGTGAGTAGGGGGAGGGGTGGTCGTTGGTAGAGAGGGGTGAGTGGTGGGTAGGGGGAGGGGTGGTCGTTGGTAGAGAGGGGTGAGTGGTGGGNTTCCACAAAGATCGCTGCCACGGCAAGGTCGCAGCTGTCAAGAGATGTGTTCAATATCAGATTTCGGGTTCAAGGATATAAGAGCTGTCCACATCTGCACATTTTGGACGTTGCGAAAATGAATTGGGGACAGCTCTTATATGCTTGAACCCAAAATCTGATATTGAACACATCTCTTGACAGCTGCGACCTTGCCGTGGCAGCGATCTTTGTGGAAGCGGAGATAGACCGGCGCTGTGCATTGGTTGTGACAAACCTAGACTGCCGCAGCCCCGGCCACCGCCACCATGCTGCAGCAGATACTGAAGGACATGTACATCGATCCGGAGCTCCTGGAAGAGCTGTCAGACGAACAAAAGCAGATACTGTACTGCAAGATGAGAGAGGAGCAAGTACGCAGGTACGTGCGTGCGTGAGTGTACGCGTGCGTGCGTGAGTGTGCGCGTAACTGTGCTCGTACGTACGCGTGCGAGTACGTGCATGCGTGAGTGCGTGTACGTGCGTGCGCGTACATGCGTGTGTGAGTGTGCGCGTACGTGCGTGCGTAAATGTGCGAGTACGTGCATGCGTGAGTGTGCGCGTACGTGCGTGCGTGAGTGTGCACGTACGTGTGTGCGTGAGTGCACATACGTGCGTGCGTGAGTGTGCTCGTAGGTGTGTGCGTGTGTGAGTGTGCATAAGTGCGTGCGTGAGTGTGCATAAGTGCGTGCGTGAGTGTGCGCAGGCGTGCGTGCGTGCGTGTGCGTGCGTGCGTGAGTATGTGTGTGACTGTGCGTGCGTGAGTGTGCGCATACGTGGGTGCGTGGGTGCGTGAGTGTGCGCATACGTGGGTGCGTGAGTGTGTACGTGTGTGCGTGTATGTACGTGTGTGACTCTGTGTGTGCATGCGCATGCAGGGTCTCCAACCATTCCGCATTCTGCGGAATCATTACGATTTCTAGGCTTAATTTCCGCATTCCGCAGCGGCAAGGTTATATTCCGCATTTCAGTTGCACTGTATAAAATTTGCACTGATTGTTCGCATTGTTCGCTTGGACACATTGTTTTTTTTTCAGCCGGTGCCTGGCACTGGCCACGCGCTTGTGCAGTATTGATGCAGCAAGTTATTAATAGCCTTTTAACGTATCGTAGGATTTTGTGGCTTTTCTCCTTGACGACGTCGATAATGGGTCTCTCTTTCTCTCTTTCTCTCTTTCTCTCTTACC